CACCCCTCGCCCCCAAGTGCTTCTGGAAGAGGCCGGCCGGCCCGCACCTCCGTGCAGACTCGCAGTGTGCCCTGCTCAGCCTGCGTAGAGACTGAGACATCCTCCAGCTTAGAGTCATTTAGGAAACGACCATCTCACGTCGCACGCCCGGTCCTCAGCCCTTCAGCACACAGAAAACTGGGTGTTTTACGTTCGAATAGACGTACCTTTAAAGCAAAGTCAAGATCCAGAATGATCAGAAGGGACGGGATCTTAGCCCCTGCAGTAGGCCGGAAGAAGAGATGCTTTTGGCCTGGGACCCTCTTGACTCAAACTGTAAGGAAGGTCACCCATCCGTTTCTCCTGGTCGTAGGATTGAACCGGTGGCCTTAGCGGGGAAAGTCCTGTAGGATGGCTTTCTGAGGAACGCAAGTTTGGGAAGTGAGCTCTGGCACAGGGCTACGCAGGCCTGTGTGTCACTCACCCCAGTGGCCCCAGAGTCTTGTCTGTGCCGACTCCGTCACACAGGAAAGGCAGCACACCGAGAGTGACTGCTGGTCACACCACGTGCCTGGCACCTTCTCGTTTCACCTGAACCACATGCTTCCACTTACCTGGGTTTTCTTTATTTTTCTCTGACCTTTTTTCCAAATCCCTTATATCTGCCTCAGAGTATAAAGAGTCCGTCTCACATCAGTGGTAGAAGCCGCTGGCACCTTCCAGGAACCCACAGGGTCCTGAGGCCTCAGCTGGCACACCTTTCTCATGCCCCACTTATCTGAAGGACTTTTGGGGGAGGGAGCTGAGAACTTGTGAGCCTCCGAAGGTGACGTGTTGACCTGGCGTTGGCCGCTTAGGGCTCCGGTTTTTCGCAGTGGCCTTCGTGGACGGCGTGGCAGGCCTGGCTTTCCCTCTGCTGTCACCCGGCCTTCTCCGCGCCCGAGAAGCACTGGCAGCGTGTTAGGGAGGGAGATCGTTGTGCAAAATGTGTTAGAGGGATTTAGGTTTGGGAAACTGAAGAATATTTAAGTTTCCATAAAGTCGTGATTGTGGATCAGAAATGATATGTTACACCATGAGAACTTAAACACATGGCCTCTTTTTTAATCTTTTCGTTCCTAAAATACGCCTCATCTGTCCACACGTGTTAGGTGCGGGCTCTTCGGGCTTTTGATGCACCGCTTCGCATGCCTGTCGTTTACGGTTTGGTTGGTGTTTCGGTTTGATTTGTTTCCCAGCTTTATAGATACGCCCAGATCATGAGAGGCAGAAGACTGCGCCCCGCTGGGCGCTGAAGCGGGTGACACTGTTCAGAGGGGCAGCGGAGAGCGCCCTGGCGCCCACCGTCCTCACTGCCCGTCGCTGAGGCCCCAATGCCGGGGTCTGGGGGGACCAATGGCAGTTCCTTCTCTGTGGAGTTTCTGCCTTAGACCAGCGAGAGGGGCCCCCTGGGACAGACGGGGTCTCCGAGTACTGTGCGGGCGGGACCACGGGGAGAGGGGTGGAGTGCGGTCCGGCTGGAGCATCCCTTCCCGTGGCAGAGCGCCGGCACCCGGCCGGCATGTGGGAGCCGATGGTGTGGCCGGGCCCCTCAAGTGGCCTTTGGTCCTTTCCGCCCGCAGGTGTGGTTCCCCAGAGTGCGCCCCCAGTGCCGACCGCCGCCTCCCGCTTCCACTTCCCGCCTCTG